ATGACTATAACCTGGCACAATTAAGGCACGGTGATAGAGAGCAGGAGAGCTGATGATAGAGACATCTTCCATCCACTGGCTCAGTCTATAGACCGCCATAGTGGCCAGGGCTGTGCTGATCTGAAGTCAGGAGCAAGCAGCTTGTTTCCGGGTCTCCCATGTGGGAGCAGGGGCCCAAGGACTTGAACGATCCTCTGTGGCTTTCCCAGGCCATAAGCCGAGAGCCGAATCAGAGCAGCTGGGACTTAAACCAGCGCCCGTTTTGGATGTTGGCACCACAGGTAGAGGATTAGTCTGTTAAACCACTGTGCCAGGGCTGCAACTCTTAATTAATTGAAAAAGCCACCCTGACAGGTGTAGGTCTGTGTGTGTCTTCCTTAACCCAAACAATACCAAAGCAGAAGCCCTGATGGTTGATATTTCTACAGGCAAGGACAGTCAGAGTTTGGATTGGAAGGAAGTTGTTAATACATAGGACAGTGTCAGGTTAGACATGTTGAACCTCTTATTGATGATGGGAGCATCCCGGGATGTGGAGTCAGCACTTGATCACCTGTCCAATGCACAGGTTGGACACTGGCTGAGATGCTCCAGCTCCTCCATCCTCCGTCGTACGACCTCTTGGCCCCTTCCCCAGGAAGCCGCCGTGTACTGCAATGCCCTTGTTGCACAACTACTGTGGTGGAAGGAAGAGACACGAGGGTAGCTGTGAAAGTCATAACCCCAAGGCTTGAAACAAGCCTGAACAGACAAACCAGGAGCCAGCATCTTCACGTTTCCCTGACAGTACTTTCCTGAGAGGATGTGGAAGGAAGCCAATTATTTTGGCTAAGCACTGGCTCTCTTCCTACGTTTCTTTCATTTTCTTCCCTTGAATTTATTTTTTTCTTGCTTCAGCTGAATTAGTCCACATTCAAATATTAGCTCAACTTCCCCTGCAAGAAGAGCTGGTGTGGCTGGCTCCGCAGGCTCTGTGTCCCAGGGCTTCATGGCAGCAGCACGCACAGCGTGCTCTCCTCACCAATGTGACGCAGCGTTGCTTCTTTGAAGCCCATGGTCAGCTTCCTTGGCCGAAGGACTGTAAGCTGAGTGACACCTGCCGGCTGTCAGGAACTCTATATTCCATGCCTGCCATGCCATCTTGAGACCAAGATTCTTGAACAAGCTTTCCCATAAATGTTCCCTATGCCAGAGCAACTACCTACAGAAACAGGCTCCAACGACAAGACTGGGCCTGCATTTACATAGGAATATTCAACACCTCTTAAACACACCCCTGGGACTCTGCTGGGAGTGAGGATGGGTGTGTCCCCACTGCCTGTTGTGTGCTCCCAAGCATCCCACACACAATCAATGCAAAAGACATGCTGCTTTCATGGAGTGAAAGCAAAGTTTGTAATGATGATGATGATGATGATGATGACAGTAACACAAAATAACTATTCAAAGGCAGAAAAAAGAACAAAAATGTGATCTGGAGTAAAAATTGAGTCCCCTGGGAGTCCCTCTTGGTGGTGATGGTGGAAGAGGAGGAGAAGGACCTTAGGCCAAAGCAGGCTGCCCTTTGGCTCTGGTTCAGCCCCAGACCCCTGAGCCAACTGCACGCTTCACCTGAAGGGCCTACAACACCCATATGTGTCGAGCACACAGACATGAGGGCAGGCCTGCAAAGCAAGCATGAGACTGCAGACCTGCTAGGCTGCTCCATGCAGGGAGACTTAAACAAAGCACCAGCCCTTCCTGACATTCTGCTGCCCTCGAGGCTGGGTCCACAAAGCCCACAGGAGTGCAGTGGATGGACAATCAGGTGCAGGAGCCAGTGCCAAGAAGGGACAATGGCCTGTTTGCAGCAGCTGGCCCTCCTGCTCCCTTTTCCTTCCTGTAAACTCAGCCAGGCCTCCTGCGGACTCCAGGCCCCGCCCCACCCTGCACACCAGCCTGTTGTCTTACAACTCAACTCCGGGTCAGACCTGAGATGTGCTGCCAGCTCATCTGTGCTGGCTTCAGGAAGGATGGGGGTGGGGGATGTTGAATATTAATTAGATCCATTTCCAAGGGACAGAGGATGTGTCTGATCCCAATCCCGGGCTGCTTTTCTGAGGCTGCAAAGTACTTACACTGAGCTTTTTATTTTTTAGAGAAACCATTTTCTTTCTCTAATCGAGTCACCCAACAGTTTAATTTTTCATTTTTCCCAATGCCCATTTATTTGTTTGAGAGAGAGGGAGAAAGAGAGAGAATGCTCCTGTCTTCTGGTCCACTCTCCAAACCGCTGTGACGGCCGGGGTTGGGTCAGGGTGAAGCCACAGACCAGGCACTCAATCCAGATCCTCATGGGGTGGCAGGGACCCAAGTGTCTGAGCCAGCACAGCTGCCTGCCAGGCTGTGTGTTAGCAGGAAGCTGGAACCAGGAATGAAGTCAGCACTCACACATGGGAGAGGGCCTCCCCGATAGCTGCTCAACTGCTGACCCACCATCCTCTTTGGTAACGGTTCATAGGACAATTGTAGCATTACTTATAATGGCCTACTACCAATAGTGGAAACATCTGAATCTCTAGAAGTTCAAGAGAGCTTTAACTACCATGGCATGTCTGTTAAGAGAAAGCCGTCTCAGTGAGTACATACTGGCCTGGTGTGTGTGTGCTTCATGTAGCTGGGAAACCACAGGCCCTGCAGGAAGAGGTGACCTAGTACTTGTTCTGGCCGGCCCCATAAAGGCTGTGGACACCCGTATGATCCCCTGCCTGCTGCCCACCTGTGCCAGGGAAGCTCCCTGTTCTTTAGGGTATCCCACCGGGAGGGTGCAAATCACACTGAGGATCACACCCGATGTGGGTGCCGCTCACCCATGGGAATCGCTCCCCGCTGTGTTCCTGCCAGATGTCCCTCTCTCTGCGCTTAACAAATCATTGGAGGGGGGTGGAAAGCAGCACACTGGCTCTACTGGCTAATCCTCCACCTCCAAGCATGGCATACCACATCAGCGCCAGTTCGTGTCCCACCTGCTCCACTTCCTTTCCAGTGTTTGCTTCTGGCCTAGGAAAGCAGTAGAAGACAGCCCAAAGCCCTACGACCTTGTACCTGTATGGGAGACCCAGGAGAAGCTCCTGGCTTCTGGCTTCAGATCAAATCAGCTTCGGTCATTATGGCCACTTGGGGAGTGAACCAACGAATTGAAGATCTCTCTGTCTTTTTCTCTGTAAATATGCCTTTCCAATAAAAATAAAAGAGAGGAGACGAGAGAAGAGGGGAGGGGAAGCACTGGGGTTATGTAAGCTAGGGCCCATTGTGAATCCAAGGTCAGTTATAAGATTCATAAGATACTGGGAAATGTTGAAATGAGTGTGGGACACAGCTCTCAACAGAGTGCCACCATCAATGCACAAGGCATCTAAGTGAGTCAGGAAGTCGGTCCCTCCCTTCAGCTCAAACAGCTGCAGCCTCACTTCTTTTTATTATTATTATTATTTTATTGGAAAGGCGGATGTACAGAGAGGAGAGACAGAGAGGAAGATCTTCCGTCTGATGATTCACTCCCCAAGTGAGCGCAACGGCCGATGCTATGCCGATCTGAATCCAGGAGCCTCTTCCGGGTCTCCCACACGGGTGCAGGGTCCCAAAGCTTTGGGCTGTCCTCGACTGCTTTCCCAGGCCACAGGCAGGGAGCTGGAAAGGAAGTGGGGCTGCCGGGATAGAAACGGTGCCCATATGGGATCCTGGGCATGCAAGGTGAGGACCTTCACCACTGCGCCACCGCGCTGGGCCCTGCAGCCTCACTTCTATGCTACCGTATAAGCCATGGGAGCCTGGACAGTGTGTAATCTAAGCCCGCACTGTCTTTCTAGAAATGACCTCGAGGTTAGTATAACCGATGCCCAGTGCCCAGCATGCCGCAGGCAGCCAGTAAGGAGGTTGATCTTGTGGCCTCCCATGCTCTCAGCATTTACTGAGCATTTACTAAAAGCAGGGACTTCCCCACGCCCTGAGAAGATGATACTATAGAGTCCTGGCCCCTCGGGGACTTCTGTTTTTTTCTGGGGGGACAGGAAGGGAACACAAGAAAACATGGGCTGAATAGAGGGAGAAAAGAGAGGGGTGGGGGGGAGAGAGAGACAAACAGGACTGTGAGCACAGCCCCACCAGAACTGGTGTTAGAATCTAATTGTCAGGCCCTGAGCAATAGTGTACTGGTTAAGGTCCTAGCCTTGCATGCACCAGGATCCCATATGGGTACTGGTTCTAATCTCGGTGGCCCTGCTTCCCCTCCAGCTCCCTGCTTGTGGCCTGGGAAAGCAGTCGAAGATGGCCCAAAGCCTTGGGACCCTGCACCCAGGTGGGGAGACCCGGAAGAGTTCCTGGCTCCTGGCTTCAGATTGGTTGAGCTCCAGCTGTTGCGGTCACATGGGTAATGAATCAGCGGACGGGAGATCTTCTCTGTCTCTCCTCCTCTTTGTATATCCAGCTTTCCAATTAAAAAAGAAGAAGAAGAATCTAATTGCCTCCTGAGGTTTTACAAGAGTGAAAGCTGCCTGGAGTGGCGAAGGCTACAGGCAACCTCAGGGAGGGCTCGCTGAACCAATGGGTCTGCGGCTTTAGTAAGGAGAGAGGTGCAAGCACAGACTCTGTGGGGCCATGGGTTACTTGGTGCTGCCTTGGGACTCAGGTCCCCACCAGCCAGAAGGACATCATCAAACGCAGCCGTCTCATGGGGGAGAGCTGGGTGTGGGGATGAGGGGTAACTTCTACACATTGCCAGAGATCTGAGAAGGTGGCACTGACGTAGACTCCAAGGGAGCCAGCAGACCACACTGTCTGTCTGCAGAAGATGTGACGTGTCTCCAGCCTTGGTAGGGGCGAGGTGGGGGCAGGGACAGCAGGCAGGTGCAAAGGCCCAGAAACATGCTCATGGACATCATGTGTGAGGTATACACAGACAAGGTGGCTGGCATGCTGAGATGCTTCAATCTGATTCAAAATAATCACAGAACACAATTCAGACATTGGAAAGATGTATTAAAATATTCACAAAGGTACAATTGAATAAGAAAGAACAAACGACAGTGACCTTTGATGTTTTTTCCCTACATTTTCATTGAAAAACAAGAGTTGGGGATGTTGGCCTCCCCCTGATCCCTTTCAGAGGTTTCATCCCACCAGCGAAGACATACAAAACACAGGCTGGACACTCTGCGCCAGGTCTGGGACAAAGGGCTGCAGCCCACAAAGGTGGTGGTGTGAGGAGGTAAGGTCACGGCTGGGGGAGTTGGGGCCCTGGCTGGGATGTCTGCTGGCCTGTCCTGCAGATCAACCCTAGGAGCTGGCGGCCTTCCTGGCAGGGGAGGGTCCGGGGCAGAATTTCGGCTGGAATACCTGAGTGCAAGGTGTGTGGTTGGGCCAGGATGTTGCCAAGTCAGGCATGTATGGGTGGGCGAGGGAAGGTGGACTCCAGTGGGTAACCCCCACAGCACTAGCTTCACAAACATGGGACCCTGGAGCAGCCAGAGCTCTTGCTATTGGAGAGGATGAGGAAGAAGGGACGGCAGACGGCCCCTTTCTCAGTGAGGAATGGCCGTAAGGACATGTCCCCCTTGGCCTCAGAGTACTGTGCCACCTGTCCACGTGAACACAGCCGAGGCCAGCCACGCGCCTGTGGAGGGTGCGGGCCCTGGCATCAGGCTGGAGAATGTGGACGATGCCCATGCGCATCCCCCCCGCACCCCCCCACACAGGTAGGCGACAGGCGGGAAAGGAGGCAGCTGATGGGGCCTGATGGGGCAAAGGAAGCAGGACACACTCCCCCTGTACCTGCCCCACGCCGGCTCTGCATCTGCACAGGCTGTTCACCTAGCTGGTGCCACAGGACAACTCTCAAGGAAAAAAGCCAGTTCTCTTAAAGCACCACGCCCCACACAGCAGGAGCATGCCAGGATAAGTCAGCGTGTCCTGCTTGTCCCCATGCCCTCTGTTCTCTGTGAAATATCCAAATGCATCAATTTGAGGTGGGGGTGGGTCAGAGGAGAACCGTGAGTGGGGGTCCCAAACTCCACACTCCTCCTTGTTGTTCATCAAATACACGTCAGCGAGGAGAAGTGAGGGGATAACAAAAAGGCAAATCGGGAACAGCAGATTCCCAAAGCGGCAGTGTGAGCGCGCACCTGGGGTGGGTGGGTGAGCTTGGTGTTAGCCCCTTGCCTACAGGGTCTCTGGGGCACAAGGTGGTTTTGGTAAGAGCCTGCAGTCTGCCTCCTGCTGGGCGCGGGGCTGAGCTTTATGGAGGGTGAACCCCCGTGAGCCACGGGACAGCAGAGGGGCAGGCTGAGCTACTTCCACCTACTCACAAGGGAAGAAGCCACCAGCCTTCACACCATGGGCTCTCCCTTTAAGCAGGAAGGACCTCAGGAGAACACCGGAGCCACCTGCCACTCTCCCCAGGGGGCCGGCCCTCCTCACGCCAAGCCTGGATTTTCTGGGGAACAGACCCAGGAGTAACCTGCAGCGTTCGCCCTCTGCTCGCTCTGCTGTAAGGAGTCCACGAGCGGATCACACGAAGGGTGGGACACGGAAGGCTGTCTACATGATACGGAAGGCTGAAAAAAACCACTTTGTATTTTAGAGAGAAAAACATCAATAAAACCTTCTCGGAGTGTCTTCAAGCGGTGTGGAGAGTGGACGTTTTCTGTAACAGCTGTGCCCCAGCAGGTGGCTGCTGACACTGGGCTGGAGCCACCCCGGATGTACTTCCAGAGCCACAGCCCCACTCTTGACCTGTGGCAAAGCTAAGCCTGGTTAAGCCTTAGGTGGAAAGGCCACGTCGACTGCGCGTGCTGAAAGACCTGCTCCTGTCCCCAGGAAGGCAAAACCCTAACTACATGGCGGTAACCTAATGAAATGGTAGAAACCGTTATGAGATTTCCCGAGCATAAGTGACCCTGACAGGAAGTACAACAGCAAGACAATTTACATGCACATAGTCACAACACCTTTGCACGCGACACCACTGGCTCCTCATGTCGGGAAGATTAAATAGCATATTTATACAGAGTCTTTATACACATCTTTTTCTCCCTCTAGGAGCACACATGTGCTTGTCCTTGCCTGGGTCCCCAAGGCCACACGTGATTAACCAGAGTCCTGGACGGGTTCGTTTCTTGCTCGGCATGCGTTCTGGGCGGTTTTCTCTTAGTTTTTCCGGATGTCTGCATAGACCACGGACTCCGACTTGTTGATCTTGTCACTGTGACGTCCGCCCGAGTGGTCTAACTGTGCGTATATGACTGGGCCCTGGAAGAGAGAAGCAGACTGAGGGCTGTGGAGAGGCCAGTGGCTCCTTCCAGTGTAGGGACGGAGGACACAACTCAGAGGGGAACACGGGTTTCCCTGCTGAAGGTTTTCAAGGATGCGTCTCAGGAATGACAGTCAGGGACTGACTTTAAAATGACATTGGGTATCTGTGGACAGTGTGGACACTGTCACATGGGGATGTTACATTATTTGGGGTATCTGTGGGCAGTGTGGACACTGTCGCATGGGGATGTTACATTGTTTGGGGTATCTGTGGGCAGTGTGGACACTGTCACATGGGAATGTTACATTATTTGGGGTATCTGTGGGCAGTGTGGACACTGTCGCACGGGGATGTTCCATTGTTTGGGGTATCTGTGGGCAGTGTGGACACTGTCACATGGGGATGTTACATTATTTGAGGCATCTGTGGGTAGTTAGTAATTAATACTGCTGCATGGGAATTTGTTACATTATTCTCTGTTTTATACATATTGGCAAATTTGACAATACAACATTCCTTCTTAGGATTATGCATAAAAACGCACTTATATCAGAGACAAAGTGACAGAGAGAGAGAGACAGAGAGGTCTTCTATTCGTGGTCCGGATGCTAAGCTGATCCACAGTGCAGAGCAAGGAGCTCCAGCCAGGTCTCCTATGAGGGTAGCAGAAATTCAAGTACTGGGCGCCCACCTACTGCTCCCCATATGCATTAGCAGGGAGAGAGACCAAAAGTACAACAGCTGGTATTCAAATCAGTTCTCTGACATGGGATGTGGGAACCCAACTGGTGACTTAGCCTGCTATGCCACAGCCATCCTTTCTATGATCACATCTGCCACAGAATTCTTCACCTGTTGCAACAGAGGGGGTTTGATAACCCTTTCCACAAATGGAAATCCACTGAAACTGTGAGCTTCAGAATAATCCATGAGAGAAATGAACATACTTGGTGTAACCCTAAAACATAACCAATTGGGTTGATCACTTGGATACTTTATATTAATTGGCCATTTCAGGGTCCCGACACTGGTGCAGCAGGTTCAAGCTGCTACCTGTAAAGTCGACATCCCATGCATGTACTGGTTTGGGTCTCAGTTGCTCCACTTCCCATCCAGCTCCGTGCTTATGGCCTGGACAAAGCATCAGAGGACGGCTCAAGTATTTGGGTCCCTGCACACACATGGGAGACACAGACAAAGCTCCTGGCCAGGGCTGGCTATTGCAGCCATCTGTGAAAGTAAACCAGTACATGAAAGATCTCTCTCTCTGTTTTTCCCTCTTTCTTTGTAGCTCTTTCAATTCAATAAATACATCTTAAAATTTTCCAAATGCCCTTCAGTATAACTGATGAGGCTCTTTTTTCCTGTTTTAAACCAAAAGCTAAAAAAGACAGAACTTTAAAAAGTCATGATCTATGAGAAAACAGCCATAGACAGAGTTAAGTCTATGTGAGAAAGATTCCTTATAGTCTCAGCAGGAAGGAAGACATGAAAGTTCCAGAGAGCTGTCAAGTCTGACACAGGAGAAGGAGGGCAAGGGGGCCGCTGGGGCAAGAGGGGAGGAGGAAGGGCCAATTGCCCCTGTTTGGTGGAAGAGGTCGGGGCTGAGGGTTCAGCCGAAGGTGGGGACACGGCAGGACCACTGCAGTCAACCTGGACGTCCAGAGAGTGTACAGTAATAAACAGCATTCACTTTGGGAGAAGAGTTTAGTATAACACTAACAAACATTAATTTGCCCCCAATCTAAGGGAATTCTTGAGAAGTCTAATAGTGTGTTTAAGCTTACAACACTGGAACTGAAAGCTCAGTAGCCAAAAACATGTGGAGCACCCCTACCCCCACCCAGGAGGACCCCAAAATTCCACTCTTCAGCTCTAGCCTCCGCAGCAATGACAAACCCAGGAGAGAGAGCTGTGCCTCGGTGTGGGTCAAAGTGGAGTTCTTAAACAACCCTCAGGGTCTCAGACCCACGAGAACCTGGACAGGACTGCAGTCTCAATGTAGCCTTCTGTGAACTTGGCAGAGAAGCCTCAGTGGCCTTAAGCACATCTATAAACTGGTAAGTATCAGTTTCTCTACCCATAAGATGGCACTGCCATGCACAGCTCAGTCTGTGGGCACTTTTAACGATACAGCAACACAGGCAAGATGGTCCTCAACACACTTGAGCTGCTGCTATGGGCATCAAACACACTGAGGCAACTGATCAAGGAACTCGAATGGGCCGACTGTGTGTGTGTGTTCCACAGGTGACACTCGAATGCCTGTCTTGGGCAACAGGCACAGGTCACATGGTTAATACTAAATCACAGAGCCTTTTCTATGCAAAATTCAGAAAGCCACATGTTAAAGGCTAATGCACAGGAAACAAACACAATAAGCTAAGCCAGCCCTCCAGTTAGACTATATAATTGCCTAATAATAAAAAAAACCCACACTGTAATCCCTGAAGAGTTGTCAGGAATTTTAAGGCGTGTTCATGGGAGGAATGTGCAGTGCGTGACTGATGATAAAGTGGCTGTCGCCTTGTTCCCTCACTGCATCTGCACTCTTTGCCATGCAATGCTGCAGCTCTTTCCATCCAGCGTAGGAATCTAGTCCTTCCCACCCTGCACCCGGGCCAGGCGAGTGACTTGCCTTGCCCAGTGGAATGAGGCAGAGATGATGCTGTGCAATTTCTGCACCTTGACCTTCCTCTTGTTTAGAGATCTGGGGACCCATTCAACCACGTACTACATGAAGAAGCAAAAGTGAGCCTGCTGGCTGAAGGGACACACATGGCCCAAGTGTCCTCTGTCTGGCCAGTGGCCTGCCAGTTGTCAGACTGGGAATGAGACGCTGTAGATTGTCTAGCTTCTGGTCAACCCCCTAGCCAACTGCAGATACACAAGGGAGCCAGCGCAGATCAGCCAAACTCAGACCCAAAGATCAGCCAGGCTGAGCCACAGAATTGGGAGCCAAAAGGGTGGCACGTTAGGCCACCACCTCTCAGGGTGGTTTGTCATGTAGCAGTAGGTAAATAACTGATATACTAGGTAAGTAAACAGGAAAGCTCAGCGGCATCAAAGAAGAAAAAGAGCACAGAATTCTCTTTGAATAACAACTGATAAAACACCATAACCAGGTGTTTGAATGGGAGCAGTCTTGTCTCACAAGGCAGAACACAACAGCCTGCTGAGCAAGACTGGGAACACGGACGGACGGGATCCTTGCTGCTGACGGGCTAGGTTTTCTTCCAGTTGCTTACACTGTCTGTTACACTTCCTGCCTTTCCCCTTGGCGTGTAATCAGGTCTCCGATCCCTGACTTTGTCAGTGCACTGCCTGCAGTGGGCAGCCTATCCAGCAGGCGCTGGGGGACGGGACGGATGTGATAAGAGATCCTGAAGAAGTGTGCGATGTGGGTTGGGCTCAGGGATCTGCTGCTGGAGTTTGTGTAGAACAGCCAAGCCTGGTGCTGGGTGCTCTGCAGAAGCTGGAGGCACCTGAGGCTCTGGGGAACACACCAGCTGCAGGATCTTGATTTTGAGGGACAATGAAAATGCTCAGGATTTCTTCTTACCAATGTCATGCCATTGGTAAGATATTCCCTTTTGAGTGTAAGATTAAAGGAGAAAACACCACCTCCACCACCACCACCAGCAACACCACACCTCCACCAATCCAACACCACACCACCACCTACAAAACCTTATCGGTTAAGGTGCATCTTGGTGCTCACCCTCCCCACAAAGAATCAAAATAATTAAGTGTAAAATGTGGATATTTCCTCCCAACCATGTGCTGCACAGAAAGGTCTTACCTACCAAAAGTGTTTCAACAAATAATCTATATATTCACTTTTGAGTCCCACCTGCAGGTGGTTGGACAGGGCCACGCCGTGTCACTCTGTGGGCCTTGACACAGCACACAGGTCCCACATTCCCCAACCCTGCGTCAGAGGAACAGCGCCCAGCACCCTAGCGTAGGGTCCCCGAGAACATCCGCTTGCACTGTGCGTTCTAACAAAGCACCTTTTTGTCATTAGTTTCATTGCTTTTTACAAGCCAAGCAGAAAAGTAAAACACAGTTAGGTATAACAGAAAGACTAACAGTGATTACAAAATATAGATGAGAGAAACCGGACAGCACAGAGTGAGAACGTGTCTTAGACTCGGACAGATGGAGGCCTAACCAGCACTCCGGCCCCACCTGGAGACTGGGCGGCTGACCCAGACCTTAGCTACCAAGGACACAGCTTCCCCCTCTGCAGGAGTAGAGGCTATTAATACTTATATCACACATATATGTAACTCATTTATTTGAGAGCCAGACAGAGAAAGTGAATTGCCATCTATTGGTTCATTTCTCAACTGCCCACAGTAGCTAGAACTGGCCTGGAGATCAAGGCCAGGTCTACCAGATGGGTGTCAGGAATCCAGCTATTTGAACCTCCATTCCTGCCTTCCAGGGTGTGCATTTGCATAAAACTAGAGTCAGAAGCCAGAGCCAAGAATCAAACCCAGGCACTCTGATCTGGGACATGGTGTCTTAACTGACAGGCTAAACACCTGCTCCCTGGTAATTTCAGTCAGGTGTTCTGTTTACCAAAAACAAACAAACAAAAAACCCAAAAAACAAAGACAGGTGCCTGGGCATTAAGTTGTATTTTTCATAAATTTCTTAGGGTACTAGTACTCTTTCTTTTGGTGGGATAACGTGGAGATATTTATTCATCTTAGCAGTAATTACTAATCCCTTCAGAGCTTGCAGACAGGAAAATAGAAGTGGTAGGTCATCACAGGAACTCTTGGAAGAAAACTTTCAGTGGCTGGTTGGCAATGGCATCCCCCTGCCTTTGCTATAGATCTGCCTAACTGAGACTGCCTAAACTTGTCCTGATCTAACACGGCATACCATGGGCCCCTAGAGTTAAACATGTGCAAAGAAGAGGGGGTTTAGAGACGGACTAGTACCAGCCCAAGGGTTCAGAGAAAAAGATGCCGAAAATAACTAA